CATCTCTGAAAAAGCTATAATGTAATAAATCATAATATATCATATTGTGTATCATATTATATCATATTATTATATTATATCATATTTTATCATAAGTTACATTTTCTCCCCCCCCTCCCCCCCATTTCCATAGATCACTACGTGTGTGGTGCATTCCTGGGGAATACCTTGAAATTGCTTTGACCAGGACCATACCTAGGGGGGTCAGAACTTACATTTTTCACCCTTCCAAAACCTGAATTTCTGGTACCTTAGAGATTTTAAGTTACAATTAACCCACCCTAAAAACACCCCGAAAAATGTAAGTTACATATAGTAGGGTCCCCCCCAAAAAGCTAGGTTAAGGGGGTGGGGATGTTTTCGACAAAACTGGGGTATTCTCCGTTTAACCAAATCAAAGCCGTTGCCCAATAGCTTAATCAACTTTGGGGTTCAGGTTTGTTGCTAAATCAAATTGATGACTTCATCTGTCCACACACCATCTGTCCGCGCGGGTCTCGGCGGGGATGATCATCTCCACCGTGTCTTACTCCTCCTGCCCGATATTAAGGTGACAGAAACTCTTGAGTGGTTGACCAGCAATATCAGCTTCCTTTGTCACTGCGCAGTCCGAAGCCCCTGTGGTGGAGGAGGAGCTGGTGACACGGGTGCAGAAGAGGATGAAGCTGGCAGCTTCTCCTCTGCGGGCAAGGCTTCCTCTAACATATCGACTGGACACCTCTCCTGCCTTGCCGGAGTTTTAAATCTTTTGATATTTTGGGACTCCTAGTCTTTGTCGAGTGTTTGTTGGTTCTATCAGAATCATACCGGCATGTATTCCCCCATTCCTTATATTCATGTCACTTCCTCTCTCTTAACGGTGCCTGCCTTCCCGCTCGCCGCGCGGAGTGCAAAGAGCATGTGGGAGAAGTGGCCAAGGTTCTGCCGACACAGTGGAAAGTCCCTATCCGACTGTGTACACGGCGGACACTGAACCAACACATTCCGAAACAAAGGGCAAAATGGACCAAAAGGGGCCCCAATATAGAAGGCAAACATCTTCAAACATGCCTTCAAAAAAGGGTGCCAAAAAAAATACATTTTAGGGCGCGCACGCCCTACTGAACCAAAATATGCCAAAAACAGAGGAGAAAAAGGGGTGCCCAATATAGAAAGGTAAAAATCATCAAAAATGCATGTAGAAAAGGGGGCCCCAGGAATTGAGGTTTAGGTTGCGCACGCCCTACCTACTGAACCAAAACATCCTCAAAACAAAGGTCAAAAAAGGGGGGGCAATATAGAAAGGCAAGAATTTTCAGAAATACATTTAAAAAAGGGGGCAACAATTATAGAAACGCAATAATTTTCAATAATGCCTTGAATGCAAAAGATAGGGCCCATGAATTGAAGTTTAGGGCGCGCACGCCCTACTGAACTAAGCATGTTCAAGACCAAGGGAAAAAAAGGGGGGCCAACATATAAACGCAAAAATGTTCAAACATGCGTTTAAAAAGGGGAGCCCAACATATAAATGCAAAAATGTTCCAAAATGCCTTAAAAAAGGGGGGCCCAACATGTAAAGGCAAAAATGTTCAAACATGCTTTTAAAGAAGGGGGGCCCATAGTTTAACGTTTAGGGCGCACACGCCCCTTAGAGAAAAGCACTTTGAAAGATTCTGTTACTCGTAGAAGTTTGCCTAGGACGACAACCTGTGTTGTCGAACCCTAAACACCCTAAACATTAAATGATTGTTAAAGCCTAAAACCCTAAACCCTAATCTCCCGGCTTTTCGTTGCTGAAACAACAGCCATGGTCTCACATTGTCCAAGAGGCGCCATGGAACTCTTCAAGCTCGGCGCTGTGCACACACCAGAGCCTGGGACGAGACTCAAGGAGGTGGCTGCAAAACAGAGATGGTGATATTTGGTCATATTTTAATGGTATTTAATAGGAGTTGATGGGATTTTCATGGAATTTATTGGGATTTTAATGGGATTTGATGGAATTTTCATGGTATTTATTGGAATTTAATGGGATTTAACTCTTAAACGGTGATTTGACCTACCAACCAAAAGGTAGACACAAATAATAATAAGCTAAGTTGGTTTATAACTCCTGTAGCTGTTGGGTTTATGGTAGATACATCTGCTGGTAATGGGGGTTAAGAACTATATTATATAACTATAGATAACAAACTTATAACCGGGGGCACCACATTGAAGGGATATCCAAAGTTATGGCTTCGCAAAACATTGGCAAGCCATGGAATGGATATCTCAAATACAGTAGGTGGGAATTTACTGCCCCCTCGGCCTGGGTTTGAGAGTAAAATTATGTCTCATCATCCCAATGTTTAATTACTTACCCTCTGGTAATTTAACATAGCTTTGGAAAATGGCTCAGTTATAGTTGATTTACCTATTAAAAGTGGTGATTTTCAATAGTTCTGTTATGTTAGTTTACCAGAGGGTAATTAATTTTGGAATGTTTTTTCAAAACCCTGAAGCAGAGTTAGTTTCACCCCACAGGAGCCAATGCTGATGGACATGGATCCCTCCATTCAAATGGTCCTATATAGGTGTTTCTCATCCCCATATCAGCAAATTGGAGGTGACATGTTAATGAGGGACAAGCTCATCAAGAAATTTCAGAGAATCTAAATTTCCACATGTATCCAAGTCAAAGTGGTCTGTTCCTGATAGGGAGAAATATCACTACCGGAGAAGGTGGCTTGGAAAAAATGCAGATGAACCAGGCCGTATAATGAAGGTGCTTGTGCAACCAACAAAAAAGGGTCTTGGGGTCTGAGGGCATGTTTGGTAGATACTTCGACAAAAAATCCTTCAAAACCGCAAGAAGATTCTGCATTTCAAAATCAGACATGATCTGAACCAGTAATCAATTCCTGAATAAGACTCACATCCACTGCTGGAGCGCGCAATGAAGTTCCGATGTTGCGGTTGCTTGGTAGCTGGCTTTCGAACCCATCATCTTACAAAGACAAACGCGTGAAAAAAAACATGTTGCCTCCCACAAGAAAACCACTAGCCTGTACGGCACCACAGTAGCCCTCGTTCAATTATTTCAAATGACGTTTGGAGCGGCCATCAACCACTTCCCACCCGTCTACCCTCGGGCAAAGAAACATTGCAATGAAACATTTGCATTTTGTAATCGATTTACATACTGAAAATGAGGATATCCAGTTGCCATACACGGGAAGTCAAACCTCCGCTCCCTGCAATTGACATGAACATTTTTTTGCGGATATCTGGTATTGGCGCATACCCATATGAAGATTAGATCTTTTTAGATGAATTGCCTGACTTGCCTTAGCTGCAATGCATTGCAATGCTATGCAACGCTTGTTTACAGGAGGATACGCCCTCAATCATTGGCCGACCCGAGAGATATGGAAGTTTCACTGGTCGACGCAATTCCTCATGGATTGTGACATTCACCTGTTGGATAGTCCAATCCCCTTATCAACCAACAAGGGTTTTGAACATTAGATCCCATTGAAGTCCATGAAGTCACCATGATATCAAATCCTGGTTGGTGGCTTCAACCCCTCTGAAAAATATGAGTCAATGGGAAGGATTATCCCCTATATTATGGAAAATAAAACATGTTTGAAACCACCAATGAGAATTCCATGATTTGAATCAAAGCACCATAATGATCCCATGAAAATTCACCGTGTGGTTGGCTAAATCCCAACATGCAGCTCTACCCCCAGGAGACCCCACATGCCGCTTCCAGAGTGGAAGGCAAGGCCAAAGTCATCACTCCACCTGGAAGCCGGGCTTCTTTCGGGGCGCTTGAAGCACCAGTGTTAAATGGTGATTTTTTAGCTACCCATATGCGAACCATGGTGCTGGTATATTTAGCTACATGACTGGGTGATGTTTAGGGTAAATCTTGGAAAATCTTGGTAAATCTTAAATCTTGGTAAATCTTGGTAAATATTCCAGTACCATGGAGTATTTTAGCTACAGTAACCATGGCCAATCTTGGTCACATCCATACAACCGCCAGGTTGGAGAAGCGGTTGATTCGAAAAACACAAAAAATCGATGTCTTTCAGGGGAAACAGAATGGTTCTGGCTGATTACCGTCTACCACTGGTTGGTGGTATACCTACCCCTCTGAAAAATATCAGTCAGTTGGGATGATTATTCCCAATCTATGGACAAATAAAAAATATTCCAAACCACCAACCAGGTTTCAATGGATAATGATGGATGCCCCCCTCTATTTTTTGAATTCATCTCTGGGGAAAGGACACCTACAGGGTTTAACTTGGGCCCCTCAGTGAGGTCAAACTTCAGAAGAAGGGCCCGCGGATAGGCTAGATGTTAGGCGTATGTTTATAGGGCCAATTTATAACTCAAAACTTGAGAGTTGTAGCTGATTCCAATGCATTTTTGATTATGGGTGTCATTAAGGGTTGATAACTCTATCCATTTATCCGTTCATCAAATTATAACCATCATAGTAGGGATTCTCCACGGTCATGTTTGATTACCATATGATGAGGTTGTGTATACAGCCATGGCCGATAGCCTCCAAGGGCCGCCCCACCTTTCAGTCAGCAGGTTGGTTTCAAGCCCTGAAAAATACACTTTGTCGTCGCTGGTGCATCATCCCAAAGGTGATTAAACACAATGGAACCACCAATCTGTACATATATATATATATGATATATATATATATGATATATGTATATATATTATTGTTAACTATATATATATATATTTATATATATCATATACTATATATACACATTCATATGTACATCATGTAAACACACGGAGAAGCCCTGCACATGTCTTCCCAGCTTAAGTACAGATGGATATTTCGCTCCCAATTCCCCCGTGAAGCCGCAAACTCGGCCCCTGACTGATGGGTAGCAAACCTGCATGGCATCCAAATAGATGGCATCCAGGCTGACCCGTCGGAGTCTGTAATTGAAAATAACTATGGACGTCATGGCCCAGTTCGATGATATACCAATTTTCGCATTAAACATGGTGATTTTCCGTAGCTTTAGCAAATAACCAGAGATAACCAGAGGGTAATCCAACTAAATGCAACAAAATTACGCAACAATCAACCTACAAGGCGTTCCCCAATGGACCAATGGACACGTTGTTGCTTGAAACACTGAAGCCAGTTGTGGGAGAAAAAACACGAAACACTACAGTTATGTGCTGGTTATTTCCAATTTTGAGTATTCAAAGAAACCGTTTATTTTCGTATAAGAAAACCATGAAATACATACATGTATTATTTAGTTTGACAGCGTTCCATAACTAAATAGTATGTAACAGTATGTACATAATATCAACTTCATTCAACTTCAGAGGGTTCTAGCGCATTCACTGCATAGCGCAAACACCATCCAATAGCATCCCCTTAGTGTGTTCGCAGGTACACCGATAGAAGCTGCCAGTTTCACTGGAGCGCTGGTCATCAAAGTATGACAACATATTAAAGAAAGCTTGAAGTTTCAGCTGGTTGCTGGATACCAGCATTGAAAGATTCCAAAGATTGAAACATTCTGAAAAATCGAGTGCCAGATCTGCCTTAAAATGATGCAAATTGCACCTAGTGGGCACGCTACTCTCCCGTATTCTCCCGTGAGTTAAAGCTCTTTCAGCAAAGCTACCCTCTGGTAAACTAACGTAACTATGGAAAATCACCATTTTTAATGGGTATATCCACTATAAATGGCCATTTTCAATAGCCATGTTCGTTTACCAGAGGGTAAATGGTGGAGCCTTCTTCCTCCTTGTCCAGTTGTTCGAATCCCATTCGCAAGTAAAACCTGAGGGCTAAAACATTGGGTAGCCATGGACGAACGCAGCCATTGGGCACCGGTCAGTAACCAAACGCACCAATGCAAAAGCCACCAACCAGTAGAGGATATCCACTACCCTCTGGTAAACTAGCATAGCTATGGAAAATCACCATCTTTAATAGGTAAATCAACTATAAATGGGTCATTTTCAATAGCTATGTTAAATGACCAGAGGGTAAAACGTCTGTTTCAAGTCTCATTGGCACCCATGAAAGTGTCAGTCCAGAAATATCCAACAAATATGCGTCTCGTTTGATCAAATTTCGATTAGCGAATCAATTTAGTGAAATCATTAATGTTACCATCTGGTTATGACTAACATAGCCATGGAAAATCACCATGCTATTAATAGGTAAACCATGTATTTCTATGGGCCATGGCTTCCATGGCTATGTAACAAATAACCAGAGAGTAATATGTTTGCCTAGACTCTCCAAGTACTCTTATATATAGTTTCGTAGCTAATACTTTTACCATTTTTTGCGGGCAGTTGGAGGTTCAAACGGTACTTGTCTAAAACTGTTCGTATGCCCGGGAGATGGAAATAATATAAAACCAGTCTCATGTCCACAGAATCACCACTGAGTTTCCTCTGAAGGTATCTCATTATCTACTCAAAGTTTGCTTGCGATGTCGTATCCCCATTTTTGCTGCTTGAACATTCCTAAGCTGGTGGGTTGACATGTCACAATCCGTTCCAAGCCTAGGATTTAAGTGTCTAGTTTCCATTGATTCTACCTCTGTACAGGCTCTACAAGGTGGTACCCCCTAGTTATGTTTGTTGGTTTATAATCCCCATGAATACTATAGTTATAAGTACCACAAACCATAGTTATTGGACTTGTAAACCAAGTTAGCGATTCCGACCTGGGGCACCACCGCACGTAAGTCTTTAGTTTAAAATCCATTACGTATTCTCCAGCTGGAGTTTTCATATGTTCCCACGGCTCCAGCATGCTGAAGTTGCGTTTCTGTCTCAGCTGGCGACTTCAGCAATTCCTCTTCCGCCTAAAAACGGGGCCACCAAAGTCGCAATCCCGGCGAACCATCGTGAGTTTTGCCTTGATAAATCTTGATATTATATATGTGTGTGTGTTCAATCAAATTCCTGGCCAAGTGTAATACGATGTAAACTCTGTTTTCTCTGTTGTTTGATCAATATCCATCGTTCCCTAATCTACAGATGCTTGGTTCCAAAATCATGCAAGGATGCATTTCCCAGCTCTTAAACTATGTTTATTCCAAAATCCATCCGGCTTAGATTCTTGGAGGGTAACCCAAAGTGGCAAAATGTCTGAAAGATTCTGAAAGTAGATCAAGTAGGGTACTCGAAAATCTTCACTTGATGAATTATTGTGACTTCCCATGCACCTCAAGCATCTCGCGTGTCTTAATCACAGGAGGCACCTGTCGGCGCTTGGAGTGGGTACAGAATTGGGTCGCCACGCTTAAAATATGGTTAAACAATCCCAAATGCGAACCATGGTGTAATATGCACACCAACATTTACCACAGTTTATCACCCAGTCATGCAGGTAAACATACACATTTATCACAATTTATCACCCAGACATGCAGGTAAACATACACATTTACCACAATTTATCACCCAGTGTAGGTTTGCATATACCAACACCATGGTTCGCATATGGGAATGTTTGACATCCAAACTTGCGTTCTGAAACGAGCTTTGATCAGGGAAGGATTCATTGTTTCAACATGTGTCAAACATGGGCCATTTTTGCTATTCACCAAAGAATAAAGATAGGTGGACAAACATGCCGAAGGAAAGGTATTACAATTTATGATGTTGATTTTGCTGATGTGACGATCGAGAATATGAATAATTACGAACAAACTTGACCTGCATGGCACCGCCTGCATTTGTGATCACCAATGAACCATCCTTTTGCACCTTATGCTATTCTTTACTAGACTGTTCTAAGCTACAGGAACGGACCTTTCAGTCGTAGTTTGCTTTTTCTCAACCCGTCTCAGATAAATCATGATCTATAAATCCACCATCACTTCTTTACTTCGCCTTCAAAACCAACGTTGCCCTATTGTTTGTCAGTCCCCTCAGACTCTTAGATCCGCCTTGAAGCCGAAATCGTGGGGGATCAGGGTGTAATACTCTGAAGACAAGTCCTGCGCCATAGAAAACTTCGCTGCGCTAAGGCTGTAGAACTAGTTGAACCAGGGCTTATGGCAATAAGATAAGATGTAATGAGAAACTAAACTATAACTGACTGAGGCACCACACAACTTGGTGTTCCCAACAATGTGGGGTACCACAAACCCATTGGTGCATTCACATTGCGGGGGATGATTGTCTCGATGGACAGACCCACTTAGTGCTTTGTTTCCCCATCAAATATTAGGTGGTTTCTGACATATATGTTCCTCACATTTGTTTTTTTTGATTCTGGGTAGATCCTGAAAACATTCTCGAAACACTCATATCCCTTTACGTTCTTATTATATACATAGGTTATAAATGTCAATTACATTCTGACTATATTCTCATTACATTCCCATCATATCAGTGTTATGGAGTCATGGCTGGTTAAATCGTTCTCAAAACATGATAGCCCAGTTAGACAACATACGGTGGATGGTGGCGAAATCCTGCACCAGCTGATTTCTTCCATCCACAGTACCTCATGATCTTCAAAGATGTTTTTTCCAGGGCCTTTGTTTTTTTCCGGAAAACTTACCATTTGCTTATGACTAACAGTTCGCCATGGAAAATCACCATTTTTAAGAACGGTAAACCCAGGTAAATCATCTATTTCTATGGGCCATCTATACCATGGCTGTGTGAGTCATCCCTCTTCAATTGGTGACCCTTTTGTGGGGTAACCGGTCACCGGTCACCTCGAGTTGTGGTCGTTTTTGGCTGGGGACATCCCCGAACTTGCCATGGAGGTTTTGTAGAAGATGAGTTGGAAAAATCATCGAAGATCATCGACCTAAACGGTGGATCTATACCATGATGTTCCATTGATATGTTGGACTAGCGGATGGTATGCACAATTCAGGACTCGCGACAAATCTGTCACGATCTCATGATCGCTTTGCTCATCCTTTGGGACAGATTTTGACCTTGAAAGTACCCACGTTGAATAAGGAAATGGAAAAAACATATAAAGGAACACTATCATGAGGTAAAGAATTTGGAAAATACCAACTGGTATGGGTAGAGTCTTTAAAGTCATATGTATACTGCGTACACCTGTAGAACTATGTATTTTGTAAGCCCAAAAATGCAGTGTTTCCAAGGTTATAGGCTTATAGGGGCTTCTCACTTTTCTATTTTTGTTGGGGGAGTTGCTATACGGAGGTTTCCTAAAATGGTGGTCCAAGTCAATAGACCATGACTTAAATTGAAACACATGGTGACTTGCGGATCCCATTCGAACCCCCACCCCCGTCACCCTGGACGGTCCACGAGTTGTTTGTCGTTCTTCTTCGTCAGTGCTGTTTCCATGCGCTGAAGCACCTCCTGCACCGATGTACCGCGGTAAACTACCGGGAAAGGCTTGGCCTTTATAGCCGCTATGAAGTTGTCTTTTTCAAAGAGGGATACAAATTGTGTATATAATTGTATATAATTGTATATACAATACTAAATTATGATAAAGAATCGGATTTGGGGGGTTCCTTTTTATGGAATGCACAATTCAGAAAATGACATAATGGTGAGATACTATGTCCTACAGGACGTCCTAGACCATGGCATGGAATATATAAAATGGAGTTCCTTAAAAAAAACCTGGGTTGCCTTGAAAATCCAAGGAGTTACATCTCCAGATGGTTCTGATATGTTCTGATTCAAATTAGCCAGTGTTGCAAAAGACCTTGAATACGTCACACAGGGGCATTGCAGTCCAATATAAATCTAGACTTGTTTTTGTCAAGCCTGGCTCTAGCATGTCTGCTTCCGTTTATTTTCCAATCAAACCTTGAGACAATCAGAATGCAGCCATGGTCAAGACATGGCAGGCATGGTTAGCATCCTACCCAATATTGGCAATTCCTTATACCCTTCGGTAATTAAACGTGGCAATAGGGAAAGGCCTATTTATTGATTTTCCCATTTAAACCTACATTTAGTTCGAGATTTTTCATAGCTACGCTTGATTACCGGAGGGTATATATATATATATAAGGAGAACACAGGAGTACGGTATATTGAGGTCCGGCACTTGCTTTGAGAATCCCTTATCTTTCCAAAGCGACAATTTCCTATGACACAAGTTAGATATGCTGAGTCCTAGTGAACTCGTTGGTCCCAGTGTACAATGGTTTTGTTCAATACATGGTTCCATTTATATATTAACTTTGACCCAAACATATCTAATCATGTCCAATATTCATAAATGGAATAAACCATCAACATATATCAATATAATTTAACATAGGTGGTTGATTATTGAATTGCTAGCATTATTTCAAATCAATATCCAAACATATCCCAAGATTGTTCAGACCTCTGAGTTGAACATGCTGTGACTGCACCAATCTGCCAAAGTGTCTACTGCTCGACCGGATATAGCCAAAGACCCTCCAGGTACCCCCATCTTGCAACGTGTGGGACGTGAACAGCATTGTACTGGACAAAATTGTACTGGACAAAACAAGCATTGCCTAAGAAGACTACAAGGTGGTACCCCTCAGTTTTTTTGTTGGCTGTTAAACCCATCTCAAATCATCTATACAATATATCTACATAATTCTACATATATATCTACCATTGATCCTGTTGCAGTAAAGATCAGCTTATCCAACTTATGGGGTACCGCCTTGTACTTCCATTGCACATGCTACGCCAATATACCTAGTGGATCTTCATCCCTCCTCTGGTCCCATTGGCATGGCTGCCAGAATTGGAAAAAAAAGTGTTTCAAGGGGAAAGACGCAAGGGACGCGCCCCAGGGTTCTTACCAACAAAAATGGCAAACATCATGGAAAATAGGTTTCAACCTTCAACATCCTTCAACCTATCGCAAACTTTGCCAAAAACCGGCCACAAACAATCCAAAACTATGGAAACCTAGTGACTAACCTAGTGGAAAAAATCAGCCACAAACAACTCATCCGTTCCATCCAACAAGCAGCACCACACCTGTCCCTTCTCGATCTGCTCTTCAGTAAGCTTTCCTAAGGGAGCTGAATCACCACCACCACCCTCCTGGCGTGAAGGTCCGTGGACCCGAGGTCCAGATCTTTTTCCCACCACTAAACAAACCAATAAAACGATTAAAATCTGTTGAGAGCCATTAAAGAAATGACTAAGCTGCCCGATAAAATGATGAAACTATGGTTAAAACCATTTCAAAACATGATGGTTGAATCAGGATTACAAGGTGGTACCCCCCAGTGATGTTTGTTGGTTTATAGTCCCCTATAGCCCCCATTCATCAACCCTAGTGAAATTGGACTTATTTGCACCAAGTTAGCGATTCCGAACTGGGGCACCACCTTGTAAACGACTAATCAACAGGTCTTTTTTTCAGCCGCTGCTCGCCCGGTCCTGTTCTTCGGTCTTCACGATGGTGTACTTTCCTTTCGTGGGCGTCCAATCGTGCGACTCCCGCAGATCCTCAGCATGCACCTACGATCCATCCAGGACTATCCAGTTTTCTGATGGGTACAGTTATGGCCATTTACCAGATATAACTGGTTATTTCTATGGGATTCTACATTCTATAAATGTGGTTATAAGTACTTATAACTGGTAAAGGGCCATAACTGTATAGATCTGAAAGCAATACCAGGCTTGTTGGTGGTTTTAAAAACCATTACCCCATGATTATGTATGGTTAATACATGATTACTTTATGGTTGATGATGGTCAGATGATGGTTAATAATAAACTGGTTGGTGGTGAAACAACAATCTTGAAAAATATGAGTTGTCAATGGGAAGGATGACATCCCATATATTATAGAAAATAACACATGTTCGAAACCACCAACCAGCAGCGTATGTCGTATGTCACATCTGCCGCATATTAAGAACTGAAAAGGATATCATGTATACATACATGCTATCACGTTATTGATGAACAGAAGTTCTCCTCTTCGAACATAGAATGCATGTACAAGAAATCAGGGACCAAGATGGTCTATATACTATGATTTTCCTGTTGCGCCCGAAAGCACCAGCATCAGCATTCTTCATCAAGCTGCATAGTGCACGCCAGACTTGTCTTTAAACTTTGCCTGGCACGGGGCGCTATTCGCCCGAGGCCAAGGTTGATTCTGAGGCGAAAGACATAGCTGGGGATACCTCAGCTGTCCTTGTGTGCCCCTACTTACTTGTAGCATCTTGTATCCTGGCTCCAAGTTGCATCATGCATACTCAATTCATCTCAATTCTGTGAGAAATACAGGTACCCTGCCCAACTGATCCATGGTGCTGGAATATTTACCAACATGTACCCTAAAAATCACCAAATCACCCAAATGTAGGTAATATATACCATACATGGAGCATATGGGCTGTGAAATTCAACCTGGCAGCAACCGCAGCAACCAGACATGTCCCATTGGTCACTGATCTTCCCATGAAACATGCTAATCTGCCAGGTAGGATTTGGAAAGGGTACTGCTGCAAATGATCGCCAAGCATCACCGGTTTAAGCAGTTCTAAATTAATCATAATATTCGACAAAAATAAATTTAACCATTACATTCATGTTTTAAAGATAACTTCCTCTCTCTACACCAAGTTTGGAGAACCCATAGGATCCATGTATGCTTTATATGGTAACATTTACCATCAATATACCCCCAATGTTAGCACATATACCATCCATGGATCCTATGGAGAAGGCTCTTCCAAAATATTAACCCCTCGCCTTGAACTGGCTTTCAGCATTGGCCTGCAGTCAAGTCTTCACAGAACCAATGGCGAACCCGAGCGACCAAAAGAATCAAATACTTGGCGACAGTGCAGTTATGGCCCTTTACCAGTTATAAGTACTAAGAAAATCCCATTTATAGAATGTATAATCCCATTTATAACCAGTTATAACTGTGAATGGCCATAACTGTGATAAGTTTTTTGCGTTCCTGTAAGAGCTTGAATGAATAAATATGAATAAATACAACTAACCCACCAACCAATAGAACCAATAGAACCAAGATTTACACATGTTTCAAAGTACTCGGCGATATGTGACGGGCATTGACCGAATGTGGGTGGCAGGACTTGGTTGGCGTTGACTCTGGCAGATCTCACTTTGTTGGCGCCCTGAAAAAGGATGCTGAGGAAACGCTGATAGCCTAGCTGAGGATTTATGGATACATACATATAATAATATATATATATATATGGATCGATTCTATGTGTATATATTATATATATGTAAGAATCCCCAAATAAGTTTCAAACATGAAGCTTAAACAGAATACTATGAATCATCCATAAAATCACCATTAAAAAAAGCAAGACATATTATCCCCAAAATCACCATTTGAGCACCTTAAACAGCAACATGTTCCCCAAGAATCGCGCTGTGTCAACTTCTTCCCCCAGGTCAGCTGGTCAACTCCGGCACCAGAACCAAAGAATCCACAAAGATTTCAAGCACCAAAGAAGCACGTTTCATAACCCTTAATATATCCATATCCATAATATATATATATATATATTATATTTATATTACATTATATATATTAAATATGTATATATAAATATAGATATATATGTATATCCATAATGGGTCATGTTTGCAGACAGCCGGATAGGGCCACACGTGAGTCACCATTCCACTCGCCCACCTGGCTCCCACAAAGGCTCAGGTTGGACTGTCCCGCCACACCCACACGACCCCAACGCGTCCAGAGAAACACCTGGCGTCCAGGTTGGTGGTCGCCAGCGACTTTTGAAGATCTTCACCGACTTCAATCTATCCTATGTATAACCAACTGAACCCAACTTCACTGAATACTTCTGGGCCCTCATTTTGTGCTATTTTTGTGCCAATGAAAATCAGATAAAATCAGCATTTTGGGAAGTAAGGAACCATTCTGATCAATTCTGACTGGGTCGTGGTTGAGGGCTCGCCTTCTCTGCATCATCTTTCAGAAGTTGTATCCTGCTGTCGGACGAGAATGCGTGGTTAACCTTGAAAACACACAGGCCGAACATGTTTTGAAATGATCTATGGTAACACCAGAAAGAGAGAAAAGTAATTCATGACTATCTTAGATACTAATAGATCATAGAAACCCCAATTGATCCTTTAAACATAAACTCTTCGGATATGGGATATTGTGGGATTCTTTGAAAACAGGGTACCCCATCCATGTCCACTGTTTCATCATATTCTCTGAATCAAACTGATTCGAACTGGTAAAATTTTGGTGGCATACTGTAGCCCTATGTACCCCATCCATGTCCATGGACATTTCATCGTTGCACCTGTAGAACTTGTTGTTGTTGGCTCCCACGTTCGTCTGGTTCAGCAGGACAGACCTTGGGGCCGCCCAATTTGGCCCATCCCCTGGGCCCGTTTCTTCCCGATGGCAAACAGATGTCCATGTTCCCTAAGGTACCCTCTGGTAAATTAACATAGACCCTGCTAAAAATGGGCTTGAAAGATTAGTTTCCACTAAGAATTGGTGATGTTCAGGGTCTATATTAATTTACCAGAGAGTAACCCAAACAATGGCATGATGATATGATGCAGGTGAATAGTAAAAATTGCATACATGGAGCAAAAGAAAAACGTTAATGTTGATATTGTATTGACGACCCCCCTCAAACATAATTGGCCACAAATGCATACTTCTGGGGATCCCGGACATTTAGTGTTGCCGAATAAATTGCATAATTGAAAACGAGTACATGCTTGAGAGATGTATTCATAGGATGCTTTTTGGTTTGCTGTTGAGAATATATGAGATTTAGACTAGAGATTTCTCAATAATCATACTTAAAATATCAAGAAAACAACAGTGATTATGCATTAAGCACCAATAAAACAATACCACCAAAACGGTTGGCGTAGCTGCTGATGCATTTACAACCTGATGCAAAGCGGGCAGGGCTCATCATGTAGATACCCTGGTGGCAATTAAATGATGGATTGTCTACCCTTTAGTAAATGAACATAACTATGGAAAACAACCATTTCTAACAGGTGGTTAAACAACATATAAACATGCCATTTTCAATGGCTATGTTAAATAGTGTTAAATTACCAGAGGGTAAGTACCAAAGGCTCGTTTGGAATGGTAGCACATTTATGTTTATCAGCATGTTTTGCCACGCAGGAAAAAACCGGCCTCAGGGACCATGTTTGAAACAACAGTGCCCATATGTATATGAATGTAATGTACATGTGCAAAATATATACAGTACAATGTGTCATCATGCCTATCAAATACGGAATATATATAAATAATCATATATAAAGATACATATGTATATATATATACATACATATGCATATATATATATGTGTTTGTATGTATTTCATACATATATACAATTATAATATTTTATATACAACATATATATGTATATATGTGAATAAAGACACATACATAAGAAATTCAGGCCTGCCACGTCGGCATCCGAGTGGCCAGTCATCCACCACGCTGTACTTGTCGCGATTTGGCACCTCTGAATCCACGGGACGCTCCATCTTGCCCTAGCAGACATGGCAGAGGTCATTTGGCAGTGACAAAAAAATGGGGAAAACAAACAAATGTGGATCATATTATGTATATACGATTTTAAAGGTGCATAAAAAATATGTAGATATATGTATATATAAATATATAAATACATGGCGTATTGAAGCTCATATGGAGTATTGAAAGGTGCAAGTCGCGAAGTAATTGAGTATTCGTGCAAATTGGGTACACCTATACAGCAATCACGATGTACTGTATGGGTCCCTGGAGCAGCTTTGACCTATCTCCAAATCACCCAAGATGGATTAGAGTCGGCTTCAAACTAGTTGTGATCATATTCCACTTATTCGGTACACATGATATTGAAACCCGCCATCAGCAGGATGGCATCTTGGCTTGTACTCAGGTACGAGTTAGGAGTAGCAGTGCCTAGCATGCATGGAATGTGGCATGTTTTGCTGCGCCACTGCCGGCCACTGCCTTTTTGGCTGGTGGTGTCACCATGGACGAAGATGCCGCCGCCGGTGCAGGCGAAGTAATGGCCTGGTTCTGCAATGGAACCCCACCAGGAGGTTGTGGGTTCTAAACGCACAAAACAGGTATCTATCAGTCGAACTTTGATGGCCATGTGTTTCAACTCTCTTTACAGATAAGATATGGGTTGAACATGGTTGAATTATTTCGAACTCGACCAGAATGATCTACCACCAATTCCACTTTCAACTCAATGAACCAATGGGAAGAAATGATCCAATGAACCAAACTACTCAGATCTCCTGTCCGAGGAAGGTTTCCGTCCAAGACCCCCAGATCGCAGCCTCTGGAGCCTTTCTCTTTGTGCCCTGGCAATGGATTGTAATCACTGCTGAACCAGGTACGCCAAGCTCATGCAGCCATCAAATCTGCTGACTTTGACATCCCCGGTTTTGGCTGAACAATGTGCCAATGTTTTGGCTGAAGACTGAGTGAACACCCCTGTGCCCTTGAAACGTTGCATAAAAATGATATCAGGTACGATCCTTATTTCTGTTGGTTCACCTAGCTCCATTAGATGCAGATTTTTGTTGGTTCATTGTGCACTTGTTGCTTTCAGTCGCCATATGTTCGTAGTCATTTGGGTGTGGATGATAAAAACTTAGGGTGTCATTATCGGCCAGTAAAACTTGGCAAGTGTTAGTATCAAACCATCCTGTCTACCGTAAGGGTCAACAAAAATAACCTTCCAAATTTGTTGGCTCATCATCACGTTCCTTCTTAGATTCTTAAAGTAGCAATTTTTGTGGTATGTCCGAAAATTTGGGACAAACCAAGATCCACTTACCTATGAATCAAGTGTTACCTGGCTCTCAGCTTCCAGCCTTCTTCTCTTCTTCCGCGGGTGGGGGTTCCGCCTCCTCTGCCTCCTCTTCAGCCTGCGGCCCCAGGTTAGTGGGACCCTGGAAGAGGGCTTCGATTATACAAGAAGCACCTAGAGTTGAACAGCGACAGCCCCCCAAAAAAACATGTACATTCAAGACAACAGAGACTCAAAATTCCTTTCTGAGCAAGGTGCATGTGAGTTGTTCCGGGAAAACATCTAGCTACGGTACACACTTTTTGGAATTGAAAACAAACCAGTTTTTGATGGCGCAACCTCTTCTTCCGCTTCTGCCTCCTCTTCCTCTTCCTCTTCCTTCCAAGACTGGTGATGGTTTGGGGATGAGTCAAACATAATTCTGAGCTGGATCCATGTTTAACTCAAAACATGGCAATTGAATCTGTGCTTTAGATTCATGACATTTCCGCATTCGAACAAAAATCCGAAACATGGACCCATGGTTTGCCATAATGTTCAGCCAGCAATCGCACCAACACTTAAAATGGTGACATACAATTAAGATACATTAAGATCCCATAAGGAACATATGGATCTGACACTCAACGGATCTAACTGTCTTTGAAGATCATGAAGATCGCATCTCCAATGGCGTCCGAGGTTAGCACAAGCGTTGCTGCAGAATCCGCAGTTCCTGTGTTACCCTCTGGTTATGTCAAAATAACTATTGAAAATGGCCATTGAAATAGTGGATTTTCCCATTAAAAATGATGATTTTCCATAGTTTTTTGTATGTTTACCAGAGGGTAATCTTGCTCGAATCTAAATCGCTCTTAATGAATTCCCCGTTGTCGCTTGTTGCTCTCCCATGTGTGTTACTCATTTCCGTCCTTCTTGGCTGAATGCTTGTTCGTTGGTTGAATCTACATGCTATTGCTGAAACAAACAATCGAAACGTTGCGGATTAAATCCTGATTTTTTAAAACACACCATTCCATGCCATTCCCATCTTCTTTAATACAAAACCCTATACTATACCTATACCAGTCACTTTCCCTGTTCAGAATCTGCTACTATTTTTCATAGAATCTTGGCTAATCTTGGGTATCATTTTCCGATGGGTCGATTAGCATGTATCCCATGTTCTTCTTCATATCCCATGATAACAACCTGCCCATAAATATCCATCATATGTGGAGATTCCACATTTTGATCCCCTTTACATGTATCCCATAAAATTCCATACATATCAATCATATGGATATCCATATCATCATATCCCATGAGAAAAACCAAGAAATATTCATATATGATTTTATATGGATATTCCATATTTATCCCATATCCCGTGAGGTTGGTTAAAACCTGGTAATTTAACATAGCGAACTGGAAAATCACCATGCTATTCATGGGAAAATCCACAAGTGAAAAGAACCAGGACTAGGAGGACTACGGATCCCGCCTAATTTCGAAGTCTCCAGTACAAGGGCTCACGTATAAGCAGTAATTTAAGAATTTGGCAGTCCGATTCCAGGGTCCCTCAAATTCTTAACGTGCTATGTGTTTGGTATAGCTGAAAATATATATAGCCCATCTTGGAACCGAGCCCCTCAAATTCTTATACAGTGCATTCTTGTACAATACTCAAGCGTCATCCGGTGCTCGAGTGTATACCCGCACGAGCAGCAACCCACCCACCAAAGCAACCAGCAACACAGGAACCGGCAGAGAGCCAAGCAGCCAGCAGAGCACCCAGCAGCGCCCCAGGAGAAGCTCAGCACCAACAGCCGCAGCAGGAGGAGCAGCCAACCAGCACCCTCAACTCGCACTCTTCCCCGGGGGGCTACGGTTAGCAATTAAGAGCCCGGCGCTGCCCCCATTAGAAGGGGGGCCAATAGTCTAGTGGAATAAGGCATCGGCATCTTAACTTTAAGTATGAAGAGTAGAGGATCCCGCCTGTGTCCCCTGGCTGTGCTTATTGTGCGTGCGCTCCCTTTGTTTGGACCATGGGGTTATCATGGGGTTACACACACAGTGTATATGCATTTTCCAATGTGATACCATGGATGCATCAACCAACACTCCAGTGGGTCCAATGGGTAATCAAAACGGACCTACCTACGTAGTCAAATCTGCCAAGTCCACCCCGTTACCTTGTTTAATCTTGCTCCAAATTGTGAAGATGCCTGCAATACAGTACTAAGAATGCCTGAAGAATTTAAGGGACCCTCGGCCTGTTGTAGTGTAAATTTGCCTGTATTTAAAAATAAGAATTTGAGGGACCCTGGACCTCATGCTTTCGGATTCTTCACCAGCGCTCGGGCTGTATTTCTATGGCCATTTTCAATAGCTATTTTGACATAACCAGGGGTTAAAACCTGGGTCCAACAGAAAAAAACCGATCCACCTTGGCCCAGCCTCTAAGGCATCTTTGGCCGAACCCTGCGCCACCTCTGTAGGCGTCTGTCCGTCCTGGAACCAGGACAGCCCCTGTGTTTTCAAACATACACATTGAAATGTTACAACCAATGTGTCGCATTGTGTATATACATGCATATGTATGTGTATATATATGTTTATGATTATATATATATGAGTATATATATATATATATGAGTATATATATATATGTGATTATATATATATGTGATTATATATATAATTATATATATATATACATATGTATAACGTGTATCTGTATATACATATATATACATATGTCTATATGAGTAAATAATGTATGATTGTACTCTGTGTTTTTAAAGAGCAACATAATGGAAATTGCACCACCAAACACAATGGAATTGTAAACATGGGATAAAGGCGACAAAGAGCAGGATATCCGTTGTCGAAACTGAGTATCAAGCAACATTGCGAACACGTGACGAGCGGTTGAGAAACAGAGGTAGTATCTTGACCAGCTGTGGTATCCCCGTACTGCCAAACTTACCACTTGCTGGCAGGCCGTCTTTTCAAATGCTTGGCATTCAAGTTCACCAATATACCAATGCAGTTCCAATATTGAACAGGTGTTGAAGTACAATAAACCTTTCATCCTTTCGCAAAACATCTTCAGTTGACTGGCAAATCACCAATTCAGTCTCAAACGCACGTACCGCTTAAACATACCATGACACCTAGTCGTATCAAGTACACTATTCAGCCATGGGAGTTCCCTTTGCGGGTCGGATCCTCAAATTAAACCCTAAACTACCGTAGCCTCTGGTGTCATCAAACATGGCTTGCTGGAAAATCACCATAGAAATAGTGAATTTTCCCATGAATAGCATGGTGGTTTTCCATGATGATGTAAACGTTTACCAGAGGGTAAATGATCTGCCAGATGTACCAAAATGTCTCGGTGATTCCCCCAGAAAGCAAGGGATTTCCTGGCTTTCCCCAGGGAAAATCCGATCGATGAATCATACGCACCAGTTGGTAGATGGCTTATCCACTGATCCCATGAAATTTGCAGTGGTTTATATCAACTGGTGCAGGATACCAGATGGATATAGTTGATTATCCTGATTCTTTGCCTTTCCCAGATGGTTTATATTTGCCAATAGTTTCCAACTGAACTGCTGCAGGATAGTTTGTTCATCCACAGTATCACCTGGGTATGGCAAATAATCCCTCGGCTCAAGTCCTTATTCTTGGCATTGCGGTCTGCACCCATCTCCAGCAAATACCTGAAGTAGATTCAGAAAGTGGCCATATCTGGGTCTATGTTATATAAAAATATATAAGACATATTGGACAACCTGGGATTTTTGGGGGATTGAACTGAAAAAAGTGTAGCCCATTGGAAAGTCCACAGTAAATCCAAGCCCCCCCACCAACATACTATTTTGTTCATACCACCAAATCATGAAGTGATTATAATGTACTATACTAATGATTATACTTCATGAAGTGCTATATATAGTATAATCTACTATACTTATGTGATTGATAATAGTATAATCTTAATACTTCATGAAGTACTATATAGGATACCATTAGTATGTCTTACCAATGTACCCTCGAAGTGAGCGGCACACCCTGTCATGACTTCGGCACGAATCCCCAGAAACACGGCGCCGCGCTGGCTGGGCTGGGCTGACCCATATATATGGAGGTTTCCAAAGTCATGGGGGTACCTCCAAATCATCCACTTTAGATCGGGATTTTCCATGAAATAAACTAAATAAACCATCCATTTGGGGGCACCCGAAAAAATTATGGAAAGCCCCAGATGTCGTGACCAACTCACCTCACGGCATCTTCGTCGCCCTTCTCGGCGAACTGATGGAGGGCCGACCTGGGTGGCATGGATACCCCAGATCCACTTCGTCGAACCATCTGGTTATTTTTTTACATAGCCATGGTATAGATGGCCCATAGAAATAGATGGTTTACCTATCTAAAATTGGCCACCTATACCATGGCTATGTCAAATTACCAAATGCTATTGATGAAAACCTGCATAGTCCAACAACAAATGATCTTGATGAGACAATCAACGATTTAATTTAGCAATGGTCCATGGTTATCAAATTAGTTATCAATCTATATCAATCTGATTAACCATGATTCGCAAGATTGATACAAGAATCATTAAACCATGATTGATTGATATACTGTATTTCTATATTATTAATAACAGAATTGGGTTTGTTTGAAAATAAAAATACCCAGATCCATTTCTTAATCACCATTTTCCGTGGTAAAATACAATTTTGAGGGTTATATACACACAATGTTTTAACAAACCATGATTGAAACAAAGGAACTTCAACAAAACACACACGCTTAGAGATTGACAAATGTACTTACCTATTTTAAACAAGAAACATCAGAATTTACGCAACAACAACGCTGATTTGTCTTGTGATCAAAAGACGACAACTGGTGCATACACAATGACTGGGGAAACATCTGGATATCTCCAAACAGGACTTCCATTTGGAAAACATCTCTTGGGATTATCGTTGGATTTTGCTAAAAGAGACGCAACAACAACCGGGCGGGTCTGGCAAGACACCAGGGAATATGGGTAATGTAACAAACACATTGAGGGTCACTATTTTCATGGCTAAACATATTGTGAGTCTATAGATTGCATCATTAATCAAATGTCATACGTATGGTTAACCGTTATTATTAGCCAGCAATCATTGATCAAAAAAAAACAACACTACTGGTGGTTGAATCCTCGTGGTATTTTTTGCAATTCTCAACCAATATCAACCACACTATTAACCATAATATTCCTATGATTATTGAACCTTAATCATCATATTACTTAACAATACTAGCCACTATTATCAAGAAGGGCCATGATTAACCTTTATTAACCTTCCATTCATCACCATAATCCCAATATATATATATATATAGGGGTTTCCTAAAATGGGGTACCCCCCAAACCACAGGTTTCAATACTAAGTCATAGTCTATTGACTTGGATGGTTTGGGGGTACTCCCCCATGACTTCGGAAACTTCCATGTGATCACTGGGGTCATATCCCTTTCCACATCCCAGTAATAAAGGCTTCTAATCTACTTGCCACATATATATATATTATACTATATTATATCATATTATTATATTATATTATATCATATTACGATATTATATTATATTATTATATTATATTATATCATATTATATTATATTACATTATATTAAATTATATTATATTACATTATATTAAATTATATTATTATATTGTATCAGATTATATATATATATACACCGGATATATATATATATATATATATAAAAATAAAATACACCATATATATTTAGGAAACTTCTATGAAAACATCTCATTCGTCCTGACCCCGGCCCAGCGGCCATCGTCCCGCCGGCTGCACGTTCACCAAGCCCGGCAGCTCCTCCAACATGGCCTGGTGAATGACCACGAAATCTGAGAAAATCATGGGAAATTCTGGGAGAGAAGAATGGGAAATGTGCTGGAAAATCATGGAAATCCTAGGAAATTCTGGGAGAAGAATGGGCAATGTGCTGGAAAATCATGGAAATCGTAGGAAATTCTGGGAGAAGGATGGGAAATGTGCTGGAAAATCATGGAAATCCTCGGAAATTCTGGGAGAAGAATGGGCAATGTGCCGGAAAATCATGGAAATCACAGGAAATTCTGGGAGAAGAATGGGAAATGTGTTGGGAAATCATGGAAATCCTAGGAAATTCTGGGAGAAGAATGGGAAATGTGCTGGAAAATCATGGACATCCTAAGAATTTCTGGGAGAAGAATGGGAAATGTGCTGGAATATCATGGAAATCCTAAGAAATTCCTGGGAGAAGAATGGGAAATGTGCTGGAAAATCATGGAAATCCTAGGAAATTCTGGTGAGAAGAATGGGAAATGTGCTGGAAAATCATGGAAATCCTAGGAAATTCTGGGAGAAGAATGGGAAATGTGCTGGAAAATCATGGAAATCCTAGGAAATTCTGGGAGAAGAATGGGAAATGTGCTGGAAAATCATGGAAATCCTAGGAAATTCTGGGAGAAGAATGGGAAATGTGGAAATCCTAGGAAATTCAGGGAGAAGAATGGGCAATGTGCTGGAAAATCATGGAAATTCTGGGAGAAGAATGGGAAATGTGCTGGGAAATCATGGAAATCCTAGGAAATTCTGGGACATGTGCTGGAAAATCATGGAAATCCTAGGAAATTCTGGGAGAAGAATAGGAAATGTGCTGGAAAATCATGGAAATCTTAAGAAATTCTGGGAGAAGAATGGGAAATGTGCTGGAAAATCATGGAAATCCTAGCAAATTCTGGGAGAAGAATGTGAAATGTGCTGGAAAATCATGGAAATCCTAGGAAATTCTGGGAGAAGAATGGGAAATGTGCTGGAAAATCATGGAAATCCTAGGAAATCCTAGGAAATTCTGGGAGAAGAATGGGACATGATGGGAAATGTGCTGGAAAATCATGGAAATCCTAGGAAATTCTGGGAGAAGAATGGGAAATGTGCTGGAAAATCATAGAAATCCTAGGAAATTCTGGGAGAGGAATGGGAAATGTGCTGGAAAATCATGGAAATCCTAGGAAATTCTGGGAGAAGAATGGGAAATGTGCTGGAAAATCATGGAAATCCTAGGAAATTCTGGGAGAAGAATGGGAAATGTGGAAATCCTAGGAAATTCAGGGAGAAGAATGGGCAATGTGCTGGAAAATCATGGAAATCCTAGGAAATTCCGGGAGAAGAATGGGAAATGTGCTGGGAAATCATGGAAATCCTAGGAAATTCTGGGAGAAGAATGGGACATGTGCTGGAAAATCATGGAAATCCTCGGAAATTCTGGGAGAAGAATGGGAAATGTGCTGGAAAATCATGGAAATCCTAGGAAATTCTGGGAGAAGAATGGGAAATGTGCTGGAAAATCATGGAAATCGTGGGAATGGGAAATGTGCTGGAAAATCATGGAAATCCTAAGAAATTCTGGGAGAAGAATGGGCAATGTGCTGGAAAATCATGGAAATCCTAGGAAATTCTAGGAGAAGAATGGGAAATGTGCTGGAAAATCATGAAAATCCTTGGGAGAAGAATGGGAAATGTGCTGGAAAATCATGGAAATCCTAGGAAATTCTGGAAAATCATGGAAATCCTAGGAAATTCTGGGAGAAGAATGGGAGAAGAATGGGACATGTGGTGGGAAATCACGGAAATCACAGGAATGGGAAATGTGCTGGGAAATCATGGAAATCTTAAGAAATTCTGGGAGAAGAATGGGAAATGTGCTGGAAAATCATGGAAATCCTAGCAAATTCGGAAATCCCAGGAAATTCGGGGAGAAGAATGGGAAATGTGCTGGGAAATCATGGAAATCCTAGGAAATTCTGGGAGAAGAATGGGAAATGTGCTGGAAAATCATGGAAATCCTAGGAAATTCCGGGAGAAGAATGGGAAATGTGGAAATCCTAGGAAATTCAGGGAGAAGAATGGGCAATGTGCTGGAAAATCATGGAAATCCTAGGAAATTCTGGGAGAAGAATGGGAAATGTGCTGGGAAATCATGGAAATCCTAGGAAATTCTGGGAGAAGAATGGGACATGTGCTGGAAAATCATGGAAATCATAGGAAATTCTGGGAGAAGAATGTGAAATGTGCTGGAAAATCATGGAAATCCTAGGAAATTCTGGGAGAAGAATGGGAAATGTGCTGGAAAATCATGGAAATCCTGGGAATGGGAAATGTGCTGGAAAATCATGGAAATCCTAAGAAATTCTGGGAGAAGAATGGGAAATGTGCTGGAAAATCATGGAAATCCTAGGAAATTCTGGGAGAAGAATGGGAAATGTGCTGGAAAATCATGGAGAAGAATGGGAAAGGTGCTGGAAAATCATGGAAATCCTAGGAAATTCTTGGAGAAGAATGTGAAATGTGCTGGAAAATCATGGAAATCCTAGGAAATTCTGGGAGAATGGGAAATGTGCTGGAAAATCATGGAAATCCTAGCAAATTCTGGGAGAAGAATGGGAAATGTGCTGGAAAATCATGGAAATCCTCGGAAATTCTGGGGAGAAGAATGGGAAATGTGGTGGACAATCATGGAAATCCTAGGAAATTCTGGGAGAAGAATGGGAAATGTGCTGGAAAATCATGGAAATCCTAGGAAATTCTGGGAGAAGAATTGGCAATGTGCCGGAAAATCATGGAAATCCTAGGAAATTCTGGGAGAAGAATGGGAAATGTGCTGGGAAATCATGGAAATCCTAGGAATTCTGGGAGAAGAATGGGAAATGATGGGAAATGTGCTGGAAAATCATGAAAATCCTAGGAAATTCAGGGAGAAGAATGGAACATGTGCTGGAAAATCATGGAAATCCTAGGAAATTCTGGGAGAAGGATGGGAAATGTGCTGGAAAATCATGGAAATCCTAGGAAATTCTGGGAGAAGAATGGGAAATGTGCTGGAAAATCATGGAAATCCTAGCAAATTCTGGGAGAAGGATGGGAAATGTGCTGGAAAATCATGGAAATCCTAGGAAATTTCTGGGAGAAGAATGGGAAATGTGCTTGAAAATTATGAGAAATGTGCTGGAAAATCATGGAAATCCTAGGAAATTCTGGGAGAAGAATGGGAAATGTGCTGGAAAATCATGGAAATCCTAGGAAATTCTGGGAGAAGAATGGGAAATCCGAAATCATGGGAAAATCATGGAACAATCATAGAACAATCGAGTTTTTTAAATACCATTTGTTTGGCAAAGCATTTTTGTCATGGCTTTACCGTTGGAAAAGTCGGGTCGAACAGACCGGCGAAGTGGTCCACCACCACCTGTC